ACACTGCGACCAGTGCTATTAGGGAAATAATCGGGGGCGAGAACAGCGGACGCTCGATAGGTTGGCATAATCACCGTCTTCTGTGTGAGAGCGGTGTAGACAAATTTAAGCTCAGATAACTGCCGCTTTTATTGAAGCACGCCAGTAGGAGGGAGATCAGTTGCATGCCAAAAATGTCCTGGACGCTAAACATTCAATGCAAGCGTTTTGGTAACTTCAATTTGCATGTTTCGGAAAATGAAGGAGTCTTGGGTGTGAAGCAGATGATCCAATGCGAACAACGAGTCCCCTTGGCAAAGCAGAACTTCACATTTGACGGCCAGGTTCCTGAAGATGACTTCAAGCTGGAGGATTACGGCATCAAGAATGGTTCTACCATTTGCCTCAGTCTTCCGTTGTGGTTTTCAAGGGATATGCTCCTGAGTATAACCCTACCGTCTGGACTCAAGTTATGGTATTCCGTCAATGAAAATGCCCCGGTGGCCAATCTCAAGGAACAGCTGGATCGTTGGTTTCAACTGCCTAGGCAAAAGTATGAGTTGGTTGCGGACGGTAAAGTTTTAGAGGGAGGTAAAACTCTGGCATCCTACGGAGTGGCCCATAATTCAAACCTCACTGTTATGCCTTATAAGTTAACGGATCCGGAAACGAACTTGAAGTTTTTACAAATATTTATCGAACCTCCTTCGGTAACAACACTTTCACTCAAAGCCATTCCGTCAGAAAGAGTCTATATTTTGAAGAGTCGCATGCAATCAAAAATTGGCACTCCAATGCATCAACAGCGTCTAGTATTTGCGGGAAAGCATCTGGAAGACGAAAGAACTCTAATGGACTATAATATACAAAACGGGTCAACGATTTTCCAGTACTGAAGGCTTAGGCCTGAAAAACGTAAATAGGCAGTTCAATTGTAAAAATTTCCGTTCAAGTTACTGCAGTCTTGTGTATTAGAATAAACACTTCCGCGGCTCTTTCCAACTTCTGCTGTTGAATAAAATAAATCAAGGTCGCAACTTCAAGCCTCCAAAAATATATATGATTCCCTCAGTAGATTATATTGCAACCTCCCTCTTACTGGTAAACGTCCGCAAAAGGTACCCGACACCAGTCTTTCTCGGGATTCTCAATCCAAGTATTATAGCGTAAATATCGTCCTACGAGTTAAAACGTTTAATTTCGTTCGGGGTTTTGGGGTATGGGAACAAAAGGAGGGAGCAGGAAATAGGTGCTTGACTAGAAAGAGTGTGCTAGCGATAGCAGACCGTCTAAGCTTAGGTTTGAAGGGGCAGCTGGATCCTAGGCATAAGTATGAGCTGGTTGTGGACGGTGAAGTTTTAGAAGGAAGCCAAACTCTAGAATCCTATGGAGTAACGCATAATTCCAATATCACCATCATGCGCTATTAGTTAGCGGATCCGGATTATAAGTCGAAGTTTTTACAAATATTTGTCAATACCATTTGGGGGAAAACAGTTACACTCAAAGCCATTCCATCAGACACTGTTTATATTTTGAAGAGCCGCATACAGTCAATCGAGGGAAGTCCAATGCATCAACCGCGTTTAGAATTTGCGGGAAAGCATCTGCAGGATGACAGAATCCTGATGGA